TTTCTGGGAGTGTGGCAGGAGAGACAGCACAGCTGGCAGATTGGGAAGCAAAGCTACAGAGTCCTGCTGCTAGACTGCAAGCCATGGGGTAAAATGTCTCTGCTGCCGCCAGGAATGTTTCACAATGCAGCCTTTCCAGCTTCTGTTCATTCATTTCTTTTCATCTTTTTTTCAAAAATTGAAAGTCAAACCCTGTGACTGTAGTGAAAAGCAGATGTGTCTCTTGTCAACATAACGCCTGGGATGGAAAATCCTGAATGTGCACCAGCAACCTTCTTAAAAACCCTCTGTTGTGCTTCTGTTCCAGACACTGTTCTCACCGGGCTGCTGTCCAAAACTTCCTTTGCTGCAGTGCACTCTTGCTAGACACTGACTGTCTGACACAAAGTCCAAGCAGAGAGAAGTCAAAGGAGGCAGTGAAGGAACTGGAAGTCTGTAATTTCTTTCTTGCTTGAACTGTGTGTACTCAAGTAAGAAAGGATTTTATTTTTTTTAGCTGGAAGAGATTATCAGAAAGCTTGAGAACATGAAAGAGTACCTTAATCTGGAGACGGTTCAGATGAATTTTTTGCTATGAACATTCTAAATAACTTTAGTACAAAGTAAATACATAGCAGTACTACTGGACAAGCGCTAATATATGATGTCTGGAATGGCTGTTGCTCTTTGTTTTTATTAAGTTCCTGTCGTGAAAAAAAATACATTATTATGCCACATTTTGAACAAACATAGAGCAAAAGGCAGTTTCTTTCTGAGGAGCTTTTATCTAACCACACAGGTTGAAGAGGAATGGGAAGAGTTGTAATTAGAAAGGATATGCTCCGAGTACACATTGGCATCGATGTTTGAATAGGTGGGTAATAGAGGCATTGATGAAAAAAGAGAAATGGGCAAAAATAGAAGAGCAAAGAAGAAGGGAACAATAGTCAAAGGGAGTGGAAAAGGAAGGAGAATGTATCTGCTGTGGCTGAGGGGAAGGCACTGGGGAATGTGTGTTGAGGCATCCTAGCTGTTTCAACAGAGGAGAAAATACTCCAAGACAAAATTCATATTACCTCTTGACTCTGGAAAGAGACATATTGCAGCCCTGCACAGTTCTTGCTCCTTAGACCACCATTTGCTGCCATGGACAGGGATATCTATTTGCCTTCCTCTGGAGATGACAAATTACTGTTGTGATTTCTCACACTAAGTGGACAATATTATCCTTGATTTCATTACAGTTTTCATAATAACATCTCAGGGGAACACAGAACTATGTCTATGACCTTAGTTGCACTAAGACACTATTCTATTGGTGATAATAATAGATTTGTCCCTTAACTGTTCCCAGTTTGAATAATTATAGATAATTTTGTCAGTGTTTGGTGGTCATCTCAGCACAGTATTGGCACTTAAGGTTTTTTTCACTGCTGAATGAGGAAAGTTTAGCTTTGCATTTGACTATTTCAAGATTTCTACTCCAAAATGTCTTGAGTTTCTAAAAACTCCTTATCCTTGTGGAAAGTGAAGAAGAGAGAGTACTTTTAGAGGACCAGAGAAATACATAATTTACCAGCTGCATAATGACTACTTTAAAATTTAGAGAAAAATGAGTGTACACATGTTCATAGAATTTCAGCATGGACTACCTAGTAAAGTCTCTGCTTGCCCATAGGAAATGAACTCCATCAGAAAACAGTTAGGCATGGAAAACAGACCACTTACATGAGAAACACTTTTGCATTTCACAGTGGTTCCAAGAATAATTTAGACATAGCAATTTTTGGTCAGTTTTTGTGTAGTTATTTTTCTGACAATCAAAAAGATGTAAAGTTAATAAAAGCAGACAAGTCTAGAAATTGTCTCTGACCTCTGTATATCTCAGTAGCATTTCTGCAGAAATCCTCCCCAGTCAGTCAGACAGTATTCAGAAGACAACCTTGTACCAAGATCATATCCCTGAGGATCAGACTAGACAGGAATGAAGAACAAACATACATTTTACATTCATATGCATAGGAGAAACATTAAAAATTCAGCTCCTTATAGCAATATTTATAACTACAAGTAAATATTTTCTCCAAATTCATCTTCACTATATCATATTTAGCTAAAATTCCCTTAGGTCTCTAGCTTTAGCTAAAGGCATGTGGTTAAATTATTTTTGCTTGAAAAACATTTACTGCTGCTAACAAACTCAGACTTCTCCTCTGCCTCCCTAATCCTGCCCTGACCTTTACCACTCACATACCGAGGTTACATTACTGTGGATGGAAGCTGCTGCCTCACCTCCTTCTTAAAACATTTTTACCACTTCCCCCCCCGCCTTTCATTACAGATCATTATTTCATCTGAACTCCTTCTTTCCTTACATCCCTCTATTTCACTGCTCCTTTTTCCAAAACATAATGAAACATTTTCCCACTTTCCCTTTCAATTAATTTGCCTGATAGTCTCAGCAGTTCTGGCGCTGACTGCTGAATCTTCTTTTTTCCATCCCCTCTTCTGTTGTTTCCATCCAGATTTCTCCCATCTGTACTACTCAGCATAACTTTCTTAGTGGACCATATCACTTGCCCATTTAAATCCTTTCCAAAATCCACTCTTGCTCTTAAAATTCTGGTCTTTTTCCCTACCTCAACCTTAATCTCAGACCTGAATCTATGTCCTATATGGATGTTTCTGCCATCCACACATTATCTTTTACACTGTCCTTGACCACAAAACTCTTCCTCAGAACTCCCTATTATATTCATGTCTATGTCCTCATTTTATTCCAAACACTTGGACATACATTTTCTTTTACATGAAGGCCACACTATTAACTTGTCCTCTCTAAGTAATGAGAAGAAAACTCAGGTTACCTGACAAGCACAGCTGAGTTGCCTTTGGAAGGAGGCAACTATGCTAAATTATACCAGCAGAGAAACTGGCTGAAATACAAGTTAACTTTGTCATTTAGAATTTCTTACTGTGCTTTGATTTATTTGTGTCTTATCTTCTGGAGTTTCAGCTGTGAAGGGCAAGAATTGTCTTTATCACTGTACTGAATACCACTGCTATAGCCTCAGCTCTTTCAAGCTGATAAATAATGAGATACTCATGAAATTCCTAGCGGGTGTTTTGTTTTAATACCTCATCTGATTTCAGTGGGAGGTTTACCTGAGTAAGATCTTCCACTAAGAAGAATAATTTCTTGTTCCCTCTACCAGGTAACAAATGCTAGCTTAATACATCAATCCATCATCATGTAGTTATGTGTTATCTGTAGTCAAAAGCCCCAATAAAAAATTCTAATCTCCTTAGAATGATAAAGGAGAAAACTAATGTGAACCTATTGCTAATAAAACTGAATTTCCTAAAAAGCAAGGCCCATTTAAACCTTAATAACACAATGGACCTTCTATCTATCAGTCTGGAAAGTCAGTACCAATTGGTATCACATAATTTATTTTGTTCTAACAAACCTGTTAGTAAAGTGAGCCCTACAGCTGTTGGAGAGAGAACTGTGGAGCGGGAAAACATTATGTCTAGTTCTGCATGGTAAGCACTGTTAGTGCCAGGGGCAGAATTGAAGTTGGTTTTTGGAGCACTGGAGCATGCATTTTGAAGTGCAACCATTGCTTTTGCCAAGAGGTGAGAGTTTAATTCAGTTGGTTGGACAAAAATAGAGAGATTGCAGAAAGACCTGACTCTTTGTTCTCAGTTCTGCTGTAAGCATTGCCAGGTATGTAAAAGAGGATGATTTAACACATTCTCCTGGTTCTGACCAGGACTGGGTTAATTTTTGCAGCAGCCAGGAGGGGGCATGACCAGGGCCTAGAAGTTATTTTGTACCACCTCCTATCATTTCCCAGGGATGGGAAAGGGTCCCTTTGGAGTCTTGTAGTGCGGCAGCAGGGTGGGGTATTGCCAGGGGTGAGCACTCCCATGTCAAACATTTGCCTCTTGTACACTCTGTCATTGGTATTGCTGCTGTAACTTCATTTTCTTACTTCATTGCTGTTTCCAGTAAATGGTTCTTATCCCAGCCTATAACATTTACCCTTTGTGCCTCCAATTCTCCTCCAGTCCACCCCAGGGGAAGAGGAGGGGGAATGTGAGAGTGAGTGAGCAGTGGTTTGGAGTGTTTTTGATGGAAACGCTCAATTGGGGAAGCCATGACTCGCATCTTGTTAGGAAATGTGGGAATCTGTTACCTGAAGAAGAGGCATGTCCCTTCCCTTTACAATGAATGGCTGTGTGATATGCCAAAGGCTTTTTTAAATTATCTGATACAACTTCAGAGAAGTAATGTCATTGGGTAACACCCCACAGGCCACTCTGAACTGTGACACCAGACAGGAGGTTCACAACAGGTCCCAGTTTTTCCTTGTCCTAATTATTTTTTTCATTTTCTAAGAGCACCTGGTGTGTTTTATGGTCATGACTCAGTGGTACCTTGTGACATGGACACACAGAAATCCTTACATTTTCTCTCATAACTTATCATGGTGCAGCACTATTCAAAATATGGGTTAATAGTTCAGGCTCATGCCTGGCAGAAAAGAGTTTGAAGGCTAGCTGAAACATAAATAGGGCTAGCTAGAAAAAACAAAAGGAGCTGTTTGCCATATATGAATGGAATTAACTGTTTTGTGCGCCATTCTCTTGAGATCCATTCTCTTGCGATCCATGGTACCTATTTGATACTTCCCTTAGTAGGCAGGAAGAGGAGTGTCTGCCAAAATACAGGGAAAACATCATCACTTTCTTCCCCAGATTTCTTCAACTCTTGTAGTAATTAAAATTTTCTCTTTTATCCCGAATGAGTGCTGAGTTTGCTAACACCAAACTCACATTTCATTATACCTGTGATAATTTGTCTGTTGGTAATTTGAAGGTTGATTAGTTTTTTGTTACCTGTAATTATAGACAGGCACTCTAAATGTTGCTTTACTGCCAATCTGCTGGTCTAGTCAAGAGTAATTTTGACATTTCTCTTGTAATTGAAAGAAACAACTGATGGACAAGCAATCTAGCAAATGGCAGGATTTAATACTTGTTCTCTCATTGTAGATGATACCAACAAAGAAAGGCCCATGCTCTGCTTGCAATGGCAGGGCTTGTTATGTCAGCTAATTACCATTTGTTGTTAATCAGTTACATCCAGCCAGCACATATAGTCTCCATTGACCTGTAAGAGGGGTGATGGTTATTTGGCATAGCACACTGCTCCCTTTAATCCCTGGGCTCTTGGCAGAAGACACAGTCTGGTTTCTGATCCTCTCCTGATTCAATCTGAATGGTGATGGAGTGGAAGCTGTAGTGCTCAAAGAGGGCTTGGGTGACATCTCTCAAAATCTTCTGGCTGTCTGTTGAGTCTGCTACAGATAGCAAGCAGAAAGTAATCAAAACACATATATTTTGATAATACTTTAAAGTATTGTATACTTCTAATATAGACATTGATATCTAATATAGATATTGTATACTTCTAGGATAGAAACTTTTTACAAGAGGTTTGTTTGAAAAATGTTTCTTATCCTTTTTATCCTCTTTTCAGGAACCTCCATGTCAGCAAACCTTTGTTCATTCAAATGTGGTTGGAATATGCAATTTTGGCAAGAGTTAAGCTAAGTTAAATAATCGCCACAGAAATTCAGTTTGGGAGAAGACTGGAGGAAAGCAGAAATACTTAATAAAGATTAGTTCATCCAGTCAGGGAGCAGCAGCATTGCCAAGTGATTTGGGTGTCTGATAGACCCTCTGTTTTTGGAAGGTGGGGACTCCATGGAGGATTTCACCTCTAGCCCTGTCCATGGTCAAACACAGCTGGCTTTTTTTTTCTTAACACATAAAAAGCTGACAAACAGATAAGAAAACTGACCTGAGTAGTGGACAGTTTGTCAACTGGGATAAGAACTACAATTTAAAATAATATTCTAAAATATGAACTGCAGCTATCTCTAAACTTCATTTATTTTTAAAGATCGTTTTACTTCTGGAGACACGTCAGGAATGCATATTGGCCCTGTAAGAATTTCTTGTAGAGATCAACAGTTTTCAAGTTTGACAAAATTGTGATAAAAATCTGGTTTGAGTCTAACTCTTTTAATTTATTTTAGATATCTTGCCATTTACTTCGTTATTCCACAGCCTCTGCAGTTTTCAAGTTTTGGGCTAAGTAGAGGTCCCTGTTATTTAGACAAGATTTCTGGGAGGAGGATCTCAGAGCTTTATTTGTTATTATTGTTAATTTTATTTTTCCAACAAAATTATGATGACTTTTTTTAACAAGTAAGAGATATACAGTCATCTTAATCTAAATCAAAAAGACTGACCTTTACTAGACAGAGGCTGAATAGTTACTCCCTGCTTACAGAAATTTACTGACCTGTGGCAATGTGAGCAGAGAGAGCAGTTTGATTCATTGTCAGAGACCAAAGATGAAGGTCGTGAACAGACTCCACTTTTTCAACTGTTAAAATTCTTGCTTTTACAGCATCATAAGCAAATCCTTTTGATGTTCCTGAAAAGGAAAAATTGATGGAAAACAATATTTTTAAGGGATACAAATTGTGATCAATGGAAGAAAATGAATCATGAACCTTTATTCACTTAGATAATTTTTATAAAAGTATTCAATTCTTTGGAAAGCCCATCTATTTCAGAGTTCACTATGCTATATAATCTTATCCCTTGTTTTGAACTTCTCCGTGGAAGGGTGAGACTCATGCATGTTTTAGGGGACAGTCTGAATGTCCAGTTTACAAAGGGTAGTGAGCTGTTTAGCCAGATCTGTCGTAGTTTTGCACCATCTTTTGTGAGTGCATCTCTATGCCTACATGAACAGCATGAACTCATCATCCTCCACTTGGATCAGTAAAGTGAAACAGCAGCTCCAGCATCCAATTTCTTTTCAGAAAATTCTGGGCAGAATATTCTACTTAGGAGATAGGACACTCCCCAGAGAGTTCCCCAGGAGGACAGTGGGCTTGGTGCAGAGGGGAACAGGGCATTGGTGACTTTGGCATGTCAGTACTGCTTACAGAAGCAGGGAGTCACTACTTTATGAAGAGACTCCTGAGTGTCAGGGGTTGCACCTCCTCCCTGGTAGCTTGATTTTTTTTTTTCCCCAGTAACCAAGAGATCTGCTATTTTGGCAGCCAAAATTCTTGACTAAGTACACTTCTATATGGAAGTATCTCTGTCTTACAATCACTAAAAGTAAACCAACACTTGAATGAAATTACTATAACAGTATTTTATAACAGATATTTAATTTTTTAACAGATATTTTATTTCTTGAAACAGCAGTAGGTGCAAGTGAAAGAGAGAAGAAATAGCCATGCAGGCATTCACACTGAATACCCATTCAAAACTTGCACTTTTAGAGCTACTTTTGCTTTTAATCCTCATGTCTTCACAGCTGAGAAAGATTATTAAACGTGAGTAAGGCAAAAACATGCATCTGTGACTGCTCAAGTCACTCGGCCTTGCAAATTAAATATTCAGGCCCATAGCTGACAGGATTAAATATTGCTAAGCCTGGCTCTCCTTGCTGCTGCTGTGCTGAGAATTGTCTATTCCCATGCACTGGAATGCAACAGGAAAGCTCCAACAGCTTGCTTTTCTGGACTCATGTAACTAAAGATCTTTTAAACTTCTGTCTCTTGCACTCAGCCTATTTCACTCACACAGTTCAAAGCACAGCCAAAGCACTTTTTCTTGCGAAGACTTATATTTTACACGGGTAAAGGAAATACACAACTAACAAGGTAAGTAGGCATCTCATATGCCAAAGGTGTGATAGAAAGAAATGCTACACGTATAGCAAACAAAATCAACTCAGAGATCATTAGCAAAATACCAGTACAAAGTTTTTTACAAAAACTGGCATAAGTGTAAACCTAATGTAATGGAAGATTGATTAAAATTAGAAGTAGGTTTAAAGTGTGATCAGAATCATGAGACTATCAGAAATGTGCTGTTATACTTTTTTCCAACATATATAAGCATCATGGAAAAAGGAACAGAAAAAAATCTAAATGCAAGTGTATTGATTTTAGAATCAGGTCCTACCTTCCATTAGCATAGTTAAAATATCCCTTAAAATCGTGATGGTAGTTGCCAAAACAAAGATGGAAAACACAAATGTGCAGATTGGGTCAGCTATTTTGTACTGTGGCTAGAAAAACATGAACAGACCACTTTGTTAATTTCATTATTGTCGGTTATTGTCATTTTTAATTAGTTAGCATGAAAGAATAATAAATTCCATTCATCTAGTACAGAATGAGTGCTCGCCTCCTTTGCCTGTTAGGGAGCCTCAGCATAGGGAACGAAGGTGCTACAGATGAAGACAGGGAGACACCAGAGTATCCAGTTGAAACAGCAAGAAGCAAGGGTTACACCCTCGACAGTTATTTCAGTTCCCAAGAATAATTCTCTTTAATACAATTACAGTGTGTATGATTAAGACAGAGGAAATATTTACATAGTACCTAGTGTCACAATGCTGTGAAAATAGCACTTACCCTTGATTGCAAGGCAGGCATATGAGCTAATAAAACCAACCTTAAAGAAGATGATAAGTGCACTAATTAGCACACTAATACTCTGGAATAGATCTCCAATGGTATGCACAAAGGCTGCCTGCAGGCTGGCGTTGCTCAGAGCTGGCTTTTCCAGGGGGGCTGACATGGCTTGTGCCCCATGGCTGTGCCCATGGCCAGTCTGGTGCAGAATCAGGCTTAGTCTGCAAGAGATGTAAAGCTGCAAATATCAGAGGATGTGCTGCATCTCTGAAAGCACTGAGGTCATACACATCACCACCCCTGTGACTTCTGAATGCTGAATGGTAAAATCTGACACATTAAGTAGAAATGCAGAGGTGGCTGAGCAGACAATTCCTAGGTTTTCAGTGATTTGCATAATCAAGAAAGTCTGTGAATGGGATAATTAATGAGGCCTCATTTTCTATAGAGTTCTTGAATATTCTGACATCTAATAAATAGTGAGATGAAGAATAATCTTTTCCTGGGGTCTGTAGATTCATTTGCCTTCCCAGTGTGGCAGCTAACAGAAAGGAGGAGAGCAACTGCAACTTCCAATGAGAAGCAGGGCCTCTCTTTTTGACCCCTTTCCATATCCTCATAGAGCTCATAAATACTTAATATTTTTGATGCCATTATCTCTCTATAGATTTTTTTCTATTGAATTAATCAGCGGGTTCAAGGTTCAAATGTCATATGAGAGAACAAAATAACTTACAGGATGTTGCTGATCACAGCACAAGCAGAGGTAATGAGCATCACTGTAGCATCAATATCGTAATCTGGGTGCAGCAGCCTCATGCAAGCCAAATATGTCAACACACCAGTCACCATCCAAACTATTATCATAGAAATCAAAGCTCCCAGAATTTCTAGGAATGAAAAAAAATCTGCTTTTAACAGTCAGAATAGGAATGCAAAAAATTTTAAGAGGTTGATGATAATGGTTCCAGGTGTATGAGCTTTATAGCCAGGAGCTGCTTCTTGTATCCTAGCAGTCCTAAAGCTCACAAAGAATGGGCCAACCTCCTTTCTGATCATAGTAAATCTAGTGGCAGCCTTGTGCATGTGGTGGCCTAACCCTGTTCTACCTGCTCCTGCTTTTGTCCCCTTTCCAGTGCTGAGCTCATGCAACATTCTAAGAAATTTGAGATATGTAAAAGATCATTTGGGGACTTCTGGGAGGAACAAAAGGAGTTTGCCTGGCCCTGACTGTGGTGTGAAATCCATAAAGACCAGCCCACCTCTCTCGGAGAGAGGCACAGCCTCCCCTGTTTCTGAACGCCTCTCACCACTGCATATTTCAGAAAGACAGTAGCAGCTCCCAGTGAGGTCCTGTCAGCAAAACTTATCCTAGAACTCATTGTGCCAATGCCACAAAGTCATTTTTGTGCCACCAGCTGTGATGAGAACAAAAGAAGTTATTTTTTCCCTGAGGTAGCAAAATTTAATTTTGTCTCAATTGGCTTTGAGTTGGGCTCAAATAAATCCAGTCCCCAAGGCCAGCTTTTATTGCACTGTTATAGGAGAGGTCCAAGGAAGTGCATATGAACGTGCAGCATGCTTTTAATAGGATATGGGACTAGTAATTGCCGTGTGACTTGAATGGGTAAATGAGCACAACTGAGACAATACCAAAGAAAATGCAAGCTCACATTAAAGTGAAAGGCAGTAGACAGCCAGGAAGCATTTGCACAGACCTCCACTGACAATCCATTAAAACAGCTTATGATTTTTTATATAATTTTATGGGGATTCCCTCTTTTGCAGGCTGCAAAAGCTTATCAAATAACAGTTTTACCTAAAACTGGAAAATAATAAATCAAAGTGCACCCACAGAGGAATCTAGTTTTGCTTAAAAGTAAATAGAAGCAAACATATATCCTACAATTTTTTTTCCTCAAGTTGCAGGCTGAACCTCTGCAAACTTGGCCCAGCTGAAGGTGTTAATGGCAGTGCATGAAAGCAGCCAAGAGCTCTTGCGTGCACCTGTATCCACCTGTGTGGATTTATGCATATTTTCAATAACAGGACACATTAGTGGTCATCTTTACATATTAATTTTTAATGGAGTATCTTGGAAAAAGTTTACTTAAGCTGGCAGATCAGTACAGCAGCATTAATACTTCACTCAAGATGTTCTCAGTTACTTTCTTCAGAATTACTAGCACTAACAGAGCACAGCAAACAATAGTGTAGGATTGCGTGGGAATCTCTGAGTACAGCTGAGAAAATTAAGGTGAAAGAGAAGTTTGTATCTGAAAATAGTTTGGCTCACACTATCAATCTTATTCAATATTGTGTTTCTGTGTTTATGGAAGTAGCTGCACTGCTTTGGCATGGAGGGCAGGAGGCATTCAGATGGCTAAAGCTGAGCACTGCCATAAAGAGTCTTTTCATTACAGTATCTATCAGTCTGAGAGAAGCAGTGAAGAAACATCCTCCAGTATCAAGGAGGGCTGCACCTGCAAGACCTTGGTAGTCAGCGAAGAGTGACATTGCCACCTGACTGCCCTCAGCTACTCTATTAAGGTACCCACCTGCATATTAAACTGAGAATATAGCTGAGAAAATAAGCAAGAAACAGGATAACAATCATGAAATAGCTTCTAACATTTGATGCAAGGCTCTTTTTGCTACCAGGATAGAAAGGGCAATAAAGGATTCGTTTTGAAGTTCTGTCTTGCAATGACAAAATAAAAATAATTTAGTTCAGACTGAGGATGAAGTTACATTAAGTGGCTGAACCTGCCTACATCAGCAAGAGAGGTCTCTCACTTTTTCTCCCCAGGATAAGAGATAATAAACATTAAAAGTAATGGTAGATCAACTTATGTTAAGTAGTAGTTTACTAAGGCTGCAAAATTCAGCTCTGCATTGTCTACATAATGCCAACCATGCTTGGGCCATACTGAACCTCCCACTCACCCAGCAGCCTGTTTCCAACAGAGCTGTTAGAATATACTTAGGGAGCTACAGAAAGACAGGATTAGTATATGCCTTCCCTGGTACTCTCTGCAGCGACAACCAACCTTGGCCTACAGACGTCAGAGTCAGAAGCTGCTTCTGGACTTTACTACTGAACATCCTTGAAGCATTTATCATCTGAGTCCTTGGCTCTGGTGCACAGGTGTTCTGAGTCATTTGAGGTACACTAACACCTCTATGTGTGGCTTGACACAAGGTGTATAATTGACTTCCAGAGTGGCAACTGGATTTCAAAAGGCACAAATAATTTATGTATAAGCAACAAAACTGAACCCTGAGACATCCAACATGAGACTTACTTTCAGACAGAGACAGCTAAATTGCCTTCCTGTAGGCATTACCTAAGTGTCTAAGCCCCCTCTGTGGACAGTGGACATCAAATTAATGATGACTGACACAGTTCCCTTCTTCACTGGCTGACTGGGATCACTTACTGGTTTCTTAGCTGTGAGTGTCTGGTCATATTTGACAGGCCCTGATTTTGTGCTTGGCACCTTGTGCAGATTCCTACAGGTCTTGTGCAAGAACTGCCATTCCCATGCACAAGCCTCTGACATCCTAGGGTTGTACCACTGAACTTCCATGTTTAGGAGGCTAAATGGAGTCACGATTTCTGTTGAATATATCAGAGACTTGGACCCTGTGCTTAAAGGTGCTCATGTGCATGTAGGCATTGATATTTAGGTGTCTAAATCTTGAATAGACTCATAATTCCTGAAAATTATTCTCACTGTTAGTATTTTGCTAGTGTCTTGTCTTTTGTGAAAACACTTGTGTTTGATTGTCAGGCTTTTGATATTAGGTATCATCTGTAAAATGGTTGTTTTAGGTTGAGGACAGAGTACTTTAAAAACCTGTTTGCATCTGATAAAAACCAACAGTGATAAAGAGATATGAAAGAAGAGAAGCTAGAAAAGGGTAAATGTTAAAGGATCTCACTTTTCTACAAATGTAACACTGTGGACTTCTAAAAATGATTTAATAATTTGCTTTAGAAATGGAGCAAACCCTAATTTTTATGGTTATTGTTGCTTTTATAGAAACTTGTTTCATAACAAGTTGAGAGCACAGTCCTCCACACCCTCAAGTCACTGAGAGAAGTTGCTGTTATTTCAAGCAAAGTTAGCACCAGCCCAAAACTATTGTAAATAATGAACTGAAAGACATGCTTGTAGATGACGTGACTCTTCACTTCTTTGAAATTCACTGTTTTACTGTGTTTCATGTCCTGAGATCTGTGGGAGCATTAGTGCACTGTCTCTAAATGCCTGCAGACCAGACCTGTGTTGGACATCAGCTTGTTCTCCAGTCCCTGGCTGTGATAACTTCCTTTTCCCATTCCACATGCTCATCATGTGACATGTTTGCTACCTGCTCGGTGCCACCCAAAAGTGAAGTGTTTGGTGGGAGGTTTGGAGGAGAGCCACAGCGAGAAGAGGCTGATCAGGAAGCTTGCCAGGTCCACCAGGATGTGTGCTGCGTCGCTGACCACCGCCAGGCTCCCGGCGATCTGCCCACCTGTGAAACACCCGCCCGGGTCACGGCTCTGCTCGAAAGGTTGAGCCAACCAGATCAAACTCAAGACCTATTTTGCTGAAAATCATAGGGAACACTCAATTTTCAGTCATCATATACAAGACCCAAACCTCTTCAAAGGTATTTCATTTTGTACCTCATTCATGCACCAAAAGGGATGAATTAATGAAAATACATAAACCAAATTTCTTAGTTAGAGACCTAAGAACAATGAGAGTTGTGATACATTAGTTCTGTACTTACATTACTGTTGTACCATTTGCCTATTTTAATATAAGATTTTTTTTTTTTTTTTTTTTTTTTTTTTTTTTGGTGAAAAGCCATATTTTTGTGACAGTCCATGTTAGGAATCAGTATCCTCCCACTATCTTTTCACAGAACACGGATATTTTTATGTATGTACAACAGTTCAGAGACCTAGCTTATGGGATTAATTTCCTATTTGTTACAGGAAAATATGCATGTTCTTCCTGGTGCCTGACTGTTTATTTGTCATAGGCAACACTAAAACAGGAATACATGGAAAGATCCCAGTAGTAGAACTGTGATAAGCAATCAACCATTTTAGTGAGGGCACGGAGAAAAATATTCTGTTCTCAGGACCAATTTATCATTTTGAATCTGTAATGCATGACTTAACTTTCCTGCTAGAGCTCAAAAAATGTGGTTGAATATAATTTTACTCTGTGGGGGTTTGGATTTATGTGGATTCTGAAGGAAAAAATCCACCAAATTAAAATACTTTTGGGTTATTTTAATTTACATTTCTTTTACTCTGTAAGCAAAATATCATTATTTTGCCAAATTCTTCTAGCAATATCTTAGGGCTAAAGGCAAATCCAAATAAACTAAAAGTTTGCATTGAACTGTCCCAGCTCCTGGTGGCTGCAGAAGACAAGGATCCCAGGCAGGACACTGTCCTTCCAACACATTACAGCAAGTGAATCTTTTCATCAAAGCACAAATGTAGAAAAGTAGAAATATGAAATAACAGAGCCAAAACACCTAGTTTCTACATTTTACAAAGCATTTCCATTCTTTAGCCATTTAATTAATTTCAGCTCACTCATTTCTCCTGACCACAACCTGTATGAGAATTAATGAATCCTGAAAAACATCATAAAATGCCTCATTCAAATCTTTGGCAGCATACCACTGCCAAAAGGACGTGTAGATATATATCTTGTTTCCTTATAGTTGGAGCATTTTCATGCCAGCAGGATGGACTGTCTGTTTAATTTCCTTCTGTATGCATATTTTAGATTAGAATACTTATCAGCATACGTTTTCTCAATGCAGAATTTTGCTCAAAGTTACTTCCCAAAAGGGAGAAAGCATGGCTGCAGAATCTGGGGGCACCTCATTCCTTGTGGTAAAATGAAAAATTCATCAGAATAAGTATTTCCCAGCACATGCTCAAGTGTAAATGCACAGATACTTTTTGGTCATGGCACATCTCTTAGACTTTCACTGTTTTCACAGTGACTGTAATCTCAAGAGGGAGGTGGTTCTGCTTAGCAGGGGGAAGAAGGTTGGTTTGGCAGTGGCCAGATGTTAATAACCCAGGCATCAGGTACGTTTCAGCAAACAAATATGTAGGTCACAAGCTGTGGGCAAAACCATATTGCATTTTATATACTCTATTTCCATGTTCTGTGGGACAGCATCTCAAAAGCTTGCTGCTAGCATGCTGTCTTTGAAAAATGTTTGCAAATTATTATTTTATGTATTGGTGGCATAACTAATGGCTTGGGTGAGTTTCAGAGATCTCAGTCTGCTTAACTTAGCAACTTGTCTCACTGATCAAGTTTTTATGTCCCGCTCTGACGTGAGACCACATGCAGTGTTTGTCTTTCTTTCTACTGCCCAAGTGGAAGGGCTTGGAAATCCACTTGGTCCTTAACCACCAAAAATCATTGGAAATCACTTTCGTATGTGGGCTCCACACTGGAGCCCAGACTGTCTTGTTCTGACTGATACCTCCAGATCTATGGAGATTGTGATGGATCTGCCTTAGAAGAACATAAGGTAATTGTCTTTCAAGGAGAGTTGATGGTGCATCAGGCTCAACCAGCAGTGCCCTGTTTGGGAAAGCAGTAAGGGCCAGAACAGATGGTTCGGGAAAAAATATCATGGAGTGATCCAGGCATTCAAAGAAGCATAACTTTTCAACCTCTCTGAGAGTGATGCAGCTTTGTTTCTTCTGTTTAGCAGAATAATGCCCATGGAAGCTGTTTGTCCTCAGAGGGCAAGGAGGGGAGGGGAAGATACTCTTTGTTCATGAATAAAATAAGTGTCATAGGTTTAGGCTTTTACAGCTTTTTATCAATACTCCCAACAAGTGGCCTTTAAGACTTACCAATCCCTATAATGGATGTTTATAGATTTATAGACCACAAGCAGTAGAAATTTTCAGTCACTCAATGGTCAATCATCAGGCACAGCAGTCTCGCCTAATGATTAAAAATATTAAATGTATGGTTCATAATTACAAAAATCTCCACAGAGAGCTGTCTGTAACTGCAGTTAATAACTGGTTTGTCAAAGTTTAATGGTCTGAAGCAAAACGGTCTTCAAGCCTGTTACTTAAGCTGTCACTGCAAAAAAGCTGCATGATTCATTAAGCAAAATGAAACATTTAGTTAACATATCATCTGTCCTTCCAATTACCCTCTAGCACAGCCACATTCACCAAACTTAAGCCTACTGATTATATGGTTTTGTTAATAATGCATTACTTCTGGACTGGAAATTACTGCATGGGGATTAGCAGCATGCGCTGGTTTTCATGGGGGAAATGCACATGACCTACAAACAACAGCGCTTCATGCAGAGGGAGCACGTGGGAGGGAAGAGTTGGAGAAGGCCCTGCTGGGTTTGGCAGCCAGAGGAGAAGGCAGAAATGCAGCAAGTCTTTCAGTGACTCCACTTCTCACTTGCAGGGAAGACAAAGCCTTTCTGTTTCATTTCCATGGGGATCCAGAGATGTCTGAGCTGGGAAAATATGGGTTTCAGAAGCCTTCCTGGCTGATTTTTGTTACATTGGCTGGAACACACATGGCAAAAGTCTGCGGGATTCCCCATGCCTTCCCTTACCTCAGTTCACTGCAGAGAAGGGCAAATTAAAGAGCCAGGAACTACCAGGTGGATATAAATATCACAGAATCCATGGAGAGAGCAGGGCAGTGAGACAAAATGAAAGCAAATATTCTATAAGCAAGCCAAATACTTCTATGGGATGTTGTAGTGTGGCTCCAGAAGTGAAAGCTAATTAGGGAGGGGAATAATCTTCCATTGATCTAGAGACACACCAGCAGGCCAATTTAAAAGATAAACATGCCCTGATATAAATACATTGACTTAGCTGTAGAAAAACAGATGGCGAATCTGGCCCTGGATTTCCCTGGATTTTGAAAAGACTTGCATTTATTTTCAGATCCTACTGCTAGCAGCCTCTATCAGTGCTGAGGTCTCTTGGCCTGGATAAATACGTAAAATCTTTTAATCTTTTAAAAATAATGCAACTCAAGTTATTAGAAAACCTTTGTGATGCTAAGACATGCATCAGTCAAGCTTAAAGACCTGGAAGAACAGTTCAGACCATTTACTGATCTTTGTATTCCTACCAGATGCAATCCTTGAATATATGAAAATATTTTGATCATTTCCCCTAACCCCTCTTCTCCCCCCTATTCTTTTAATGACTGAGGACAAAGTAGAGTTATTTAATGCTGGGTGGGTTCCCCCATGTCAGCATGGTCCCTGCAGTCAGAGTGCACTCAAGGCAAGAATGTGGCTGTGCTGGGCACCAGACTGGGCTCTTTTTGAACAATACTTCCCTGTTATCTCAGCAATCATGAAGAAGGTGCAAATTACTGATGCTACACAGAGCTTCCTCCTGGCTTGATGCTGCTCCCTCTTTCTGTTCTCATAGGCCTGTGAGTAGCTGTGACAGTGATATGTAGGATTAGCTCCTGTAACTTCTGCTTCCTGCTGCTGCCTCTCTTCATTTGGATTCTTCTGAAGGCAGCTCATCCTTTGGGATAGAAAGAAATACAAGGTTAAAAAAGAAAAGTCCCGGCTATTCAGGCGTCTGGCCCTACAGACACAGAAATTATGTAATTAATGCTTTCAGAGGGTAAAAGCAGCATTGGGAACAGCAGAGCAGGTCAAAGAAGAGGCTTGCCAGCACAAGCAAGGCTCTGTGGGAGGGAGCTGCACATGAAATGAGTGTTCTGGCTGTGTTTCCCAGCTCTTTGGTCTCTCCTACATCATTTAGCAGTTTATGAAGCAGGGTGGCCTTTCTAGGCTGTGTATCTCATGCACACCACATGACTATAAAAAAATTGTATCTCATGCAAATAGTTCCCAAGTTCAGCATAATATGGAGAAAATTCTACTAAAAAAATCAGGATTTTATTCTGAACAGCTTTGTCAGGAAGACTAGGCAAAAAAACACCCCAAACTTCTTTTTCTTAAATATAATCAGCTAAAGATATTTGTCTCCTGTCTTTATTTTTTCTTAACAGGACTATTTCATCTTAAATTTCCACATATGTACAAAATCTACCAATATTCCAGCATAGAAATAGAGAAATTCCAGCTCAGCATAGAGCCTGAGCATAGAAAATATTAGCCAAAAAATCTCAAAGGTATTCAAAAATCAAATAAATCAATTCTCCATGATACATATAACTCATAGTACATGTAGAACCCTTTGTGCCACTGAGGTCATGGTAAAGGGAGAAGTCCAGCAAAAGTGTCTCTTTGAGCATTTCCCCATTACAAAGTGATTTTTCAGCCAAGTCTGCTCTGCCATAAAACCTCAGTATTGTGCCTCTTTGTGTTCCTGCACTGGAAACACAGGGTGGGGGTAGAGAGGTCTGGGGCCAAGCTCATTGCATGGCAACTCTGGAGGCTCCTGGATGCCCACAATGTTTGGTGCACTCAATAGAACAACCAAGAGATTCCCCCTGGGAGGCCCCAAGGTGATTTGCTGAGCAAGGATATTCCCTTCTCATCTCTCAACAGAAAAGATCCTAAATTGCAAAAACGCCCTCTAAACCCTCTCCTAGGGGTACTTAAAACCATTCTGTCTCTCCCAATACAACATTTGTTGCCAGAGCTACTCCTAATGTGATGAGTGCACCAGAAGATGAATTCTGCCAGGATGCACACACACACTGTCCCTATAACCACGTGTTGCAGCTGTTTGAGGTCTGTGTGTGCAGGGGCTACCCAGAAACACAGCAAACTCCACTGCTTTTTTTCCAAGTCTGAAATTAGTCTGGGGACAGGATGTGAGACTGGCTTATTTGCCCCAGTGGCTTTTCCCCATTTTGACTTCAGACTTTCCTCTGGGACTAGGAAGAATTGTTTCTTCAACTGAAGAAAACCTGTGCTCCAGGAAGTAACATGAATCCTGGTGACTTTCTGTAGTGTTTCTGCATTGTTTATAGAAGTGTCAAGATGCCTAAAATCTCACTGGAAAGAAATCAGCTGGTGGCTGCCAACCTGCAGTAGTCAATGTCCAGAAAAAAAAACCTATACTGAAATCACAAGCTTTTTCCAGCTGCCTTTTTGGGTGGCCTGAGGGGGCTGCAGCTGCTCAGCAGGTTTGAAGTTCTGCCAGATGCCCCACACTAGTGGCCAAGAGGCAAAGGCACCTGCAGAGCTGATGTCTTGGCTTTTTATGTTCATCAACATCCCAGAAGTACTGATGAAAGAAGAGCTGACCCACCTTGGCAGTCAATCCCTGCAAGTGTAGATTATCAATGTGGATTTGGTTCTGTAAATATTGAGATGTTCCAAGGGTGTGATGTTCCCCTGAGTCAGCCTGTTTCCCAGCCAGGTTAGCATGTGGTCTCTGTTTGCTCAGTCAAGGTGACTGATTCCCCCTGTACGTGAGGAGCTTGTGTGAAAGAGCAACTGGTCAGATGTCATGTCTGATGCTTGGAGACAGTGAGTTTGCTTAGTCCTTTGGTCAGCATTTTCCTTTATTTTCCTCACAACAACAAATAAATAGGAGTTGGCCTGTCTGGCAGCTGGGTCCCCACCAGCCAGTCCTTCTCCAGTCCTTTAGTTTTACATTTATCGGGTTCCTTATGTGTACTGTGTCATTTTTATACAATATTTTACTGATGAATTAGACACAGAAGGTACCACAAATTAATTCCGTCCAGATGGCTAAATAAAATGCTGTAGTTCTCTCACTCCCCTGGAGATCAGGGCAGACAAGATTTTCTTTCTCATGATCTCTCTCAGGAGTTATCTTCCAAGGCTTTTCTATCATTTGCATGTAAAATTAATCTCCCCTTACCTCAATTTTCATCAGCTGGCATTGAACATTAAAATCATCTTAATGACATGAGTCACGATCAGCTCAACAGCCTCTCAGGCAGGAATGCCAAAATTACCACTGCATATTCTGAGCCACCAAGTCCTTTCCTTGTTGTCAACAAAATAGGTCGCTCTATGATCTCACTCTCTTTTGGATTTTGTATTTCAGTCTCTCTGTCAACTAAGAAGGCCTCAGGGCATCACTGAGGGGCAGGAAAGCTCTGTCCGCAGATCTTGCTGGACAGATGCAAAAGCAAACAGAGACAGGTATAAAACCACAAATGTCACATTTTTTTGTCTAAAGGGTACCTAAATAAAAGTGCCCCGGTTGCCAGAGGTGGTAAGCATTCTTAAACTGCTCCCTTTGAACTTGCAGAACAGCATCCGGCCTGATGAGTTGGGAAAACTCCTGCCAGCTCCTCTGCGTAACCATTATTTTTCTCTTTCAAAAGCTGCCTGCCACTAATTAAAAGAATCTAAGAATCTAAGAGGCAGTTTTATAAAAGTGTGAATCAAAAGCTTAAGGTGCAAAGATCAGTTCTGTTAGACCAGAAACTCCTTCATAGTATTTTAGAGCAAGATGTAGTCTTTGAGCTTCACATCTCTGTGCCAGCATATTGCAGAGTTACTGATTAAAAAATAATCTTTTCTCCATTTCAAATTCTCTTTCCTTTGTAAAAAAGATAGTCAGGGGAATGTCACTGAAAGGCTCCTACTGAGTCATGCCTGGAGGGGGGAAGCAGAAAATATTAATACATATTGCAGATTTCCCACAAATCATTAGCTTTTTATTACAACTTCCTTTCTGTTTATTTTCACTTGATCTGCCGGGTGCCTTGATCTGCAGGCTTGTGGGAATAATTGCTATCCTCCTAGACCATTACGAGTTCCCCCGTCACAAGAGGAAAATGTGGAATCACTGTGCTTTCCACAGGAAATCATCTCCTTCATGAGGGAAAATAGTAATTTTCTGGTGCCTGAAAGGATAATGAAACTACCTTCAGAGAAAAATTTATCAAAGCCATTGTCACCTCCCTTGTGTTGGCACCATTCCGATTTCAATTGATGTACCAATCTTGAATATTTTCAAGGTATTTAAGACCCTGTTAATAACCTGGCTGTCCAGTTTCTCCTTTTCCTTACTGTGGGCACAAAATAAAGGCAAATATTTATATGTTTGCATACATTTAGATGTCCAGTAGATAGGAATTCACGCCTCAGTTATCCAATTTGGCCTCATTTTGAGGGCCTGGCCCTGTATGCATAAATGTATTGTCAAGAGTTTTCCTTCTACATAGCACTATAACAATTGCTGCCTGGAGACAGACCAGAAGTGCATGTAGCCAAGTATCCAAATTCTGTCATGAGCATGAAGGAATACATAAGGTCAAAGTACCAAAGAGGAACACTCCCAGAGAGTCACTGCTCCTCAATTCTGAACCAGAGCTCCTGTCCAACATCTCTTTACAGATCTCTAGTCTACAAACCCAGCTGACTTGAAAGTATTGAGTTCCACAATTTAATTACAATGTGTGTAAAAATAATGTGTCTTTTGTCACTTTGGAGCTGTCTGACTGCTATTTTAATTAGTTCTAATACTGTTAGATATGACTGACTATTCCCTGTTTACCTGCTTCACACCATTCATGATTTTATGTATCATTGTTATACCCCTGAACCATCAATTTTCTGAGCTAATGCCCTAGCTATTTAATTTCTGTTTCGTATAACTTACTACCTTGGTTCTAATTTTCTTTCCGGGCAAAACTGAATTGGGCATAAGGGAGATGGCATATGGCCAGTACTGGGAAGACACAATACATTCTGCAGGGTCCTAGTGTCATCTGCTGGGGGCAACGACAACGGGTATGAGTTTGCTGAGTCTGCTAAGTTACTGTGTGCTACTGGGCCAGCTGGCAAGCCAGTGCAAAGGAGACAACCACAGGCCTCTCAGCTAAAACAGTCCAGAGATCACAAGAAACACCCATCATCCTCATCATCCTCCTGAGCACTGATTCTGTAAAGGATAAGGAGTGGTGGATAGACTATATTTGATGAGGACTCTTTGAGCTCTTAAGAGTTTTCATATCACCTGCAGCAAAGGAGAAAAAGAACAAAATATTACTAATGTGCTTCCTAAAAAAATCACTTGTCACCTGAAGAAATCATCTCCCAGGTTCCCTTCAAACTTTTTGCTTGCTTTTTTGAGCCTGGCAGACAGGAACCAGTTGGGAATCTAAGGCCTGTAGACAAGAATATCTACAGATAAATGTTCTGTGTTAAAAACTTTTGCATGAAGACAAATCCCAACATTTCCACACAACTTTCCTGCTATCAGCATTGCCCACTGCTGGGTTTTTCCCTGCCTTGTTTCTTGTCTCAGAGACAAAATAAAAACCAAAACTTTGAGACTTAAAGCCTTGAGTTTCACTTGTGTGATGGTATTCAAAATCTCAATATAAAGAACGTAATAAGAAATCCATGCTGGATCAACCCAAAATCTAGCTTATATCATAGCTGGCACAATCAGATGCAAATCCACTGATTTATGAAGTGGGATATTGAATATTTCTGGTCAATTTACAGTGATCTGTTGCCAGAAAGAATTAAAAATACTCTTGCCTGTCTTCATTCATGGAAAGCTGAGGAATTTGGTCAAGCCATTACCTAGATTGTGATAAAGGGTTATCTAGATCACTATATAGGTGATAACAAATAGGAAAAAAAAAAAATAATATAAATGATTAGTCATTAGAAAAACTTATTCTCTTTTAATACCAGCATTGACTGTGAAAAGACCAAACAAAACTATCTCAGAGACCTAGTTCACACCTAATTTAAAAACAGATGATGTATGGCTTATGGGCAATGTATTTTGTATGAAATGGGAGGTTCTGAGTGCTCAGCTTCAGAGCCTGTAACCATTATGGCTCATAACCTTCCTCAGGTCTGGTGGGAAGTGGTGTCCTGTCCTGAGACCCATCCTGTGCAATGCCTCCCTCTGTTACCTGGAGGAGGAAGTGTAGGGCACCCCGATCACGTTGGCAGATGCTGCCAACCTGGAGGTGCAGCTGATGGGTTGGAGGGCAAGGCTGCCTTAAGGAGTCTGGAGGAAGAGCTCTACGGGAGCCACCTAATTTCAGAAGAACAAATACGAAGTCCTGCACAGGAAACAGACAGATTTGTGAGACTGTATCTACAATATTGTGTCCAGCTTTGGTGTCCTTAGCACAGGCAGGATCAGTAAATTAGTGCAGGTTCAGCAGAGGGTGACCAGGATGATTAAAGGCTGGAGCACTTCTAGGGGGACTGGACTTTTTGTGAGCACCTAGATGCAACCTGCCAATATTCTTCAGGAGGCTATTGAGAAGATGGAGCTTTATTGCTTTACATGAGGAAGGATGAAGTCATTGGTCATAAATTGAAACAAGTTCCAATTGAATATAAGGGGGAAAAAAAGATTATGAAATTAATTCCCTATTGAAGCAGATTGCCCAGAAAGGTTGTGGAGTTTCTATCCACAGAGATTTTTTTCAAGACTAGAGACAGCCCTGAGCAACATTATTCAATCTCTTGGTTGGCCAAGAGACATTCTTAAGGTCCCTCCCAATGTGAATTGTACAATAAACCTACAACTGATCTGACTTTCAAAGGGCTCAGTTGAAGCCCACTCCCTTTTAAGCATTTCAAGATTGACATGGGAAGCCTTAATACATCCAAACCATCTACTGACAACAGACAAGTCTTGCATGTGCAAAACACTCTCCTCCACCACCCTGAGTGGAGGGAAAGGGGTCAGCTTTCAGGCCTCCTACTCACATGGTCAAGATAAAGCTATATTGATAAAACTATATAATGATGGCATTTATTAAAAAGAAAGAGGCTGGGGGATGGCAAGGAAATAGGCAATCTGTGTGCAAAATAAATTCTGTTGAAAGCATTAGAGCTGCTCATTAAGGCTACACATGGGGGGACAGAAAAGTGTGGTAATTTATACCAAAGGCTAAGATAAGCCTATTGCTACTGTTGGCTTAAGGCAGCTGCTCTGCGAGCCCAGGGCGCTGCATCCCCTCATGGGCTGGTTGTGGCTCATGGGCTGGTACCCTGGGCCACTGGGCTGGCACCCCAAGCTGCTGGGTGCAATGGGAAGCAGGGCAAGGGCTTCCCCTGTGTTACCAGCTCTTTCCAACAGGAGGAAGACTCTGGCTCTCAGGCCCCATTTCTGGTTATTTCTGGAACAGAGTAATTAAATTGTGCAGCTAATCAAATTTCATCTGGCAGAAAAAGCAAAATGGAGAAGCAGCACAAAAGCCACTTGTCTGGGTGACAAGTCCTCTTCATTTTGGAGAGCTGTGCTACCACCTCCGTCATTCGGCCACCTCAGGACCACCACTGTGGAGCCCTCTGGGACCAGCCCTCCAGCACAGGGGCTATTGCATATAGCTGCAGCATCAGTCCAACAATTGCAATTGCTGCAGCAATTCACCCCAACTAATTTCAATCCTAAATTAAGAAATAATTATCAGAAAAAAATTGACTCCAGAAGGTGTGTCAGGTCTCAGATGGGAGGATCAGCTGCCAGGGATTCTTGCCCCTAGTGTGTATTCTACCCTTCTTCTTATCAGGGATATTCCCCATTACCAGTGATCCAGGGGAAAAAATGCTTCCTCACAAAAAATGCTTCCTCACAAATGCTTCCTCACAAGGCAGCCCAACAACTGTCCCCGTCTCAGGGGACCATATAATGGGTTTGCCCAGTGCTGTCCTTTGTGTCCAGAGGTTGCAAGGGGACAAAGGACCTCAAGCACTGAAGCTGTGTGCACAAAATTGCAAACTTTCAAAAAAACACTGAGTGTCTTCAATAACTAAAGTGAACTGCAGAATCATATGGGATCTTTTTGAAATATAAATATTACCACAGAAGTCATATAGTGCCATCTATATTTATGGAGCCATGTAACAATATTTGAATAATAACCCAGACTTTCAAATGACTAAAATATGATGGCACTGACCCCAGTATAAGAACATGAAGAGACAGATTTCCATTTGAACTGACAGTGTTTACGCCAAGTTTCTGTCCCATGTTTTAAGAGAGCCAAGCAATAAATAACCTGAAAACCAATGAGATAATGGAAATGTCAAGAGGTGCTAAGCTGCAACTGAACAGCTATTTTCTTTTAAAAATACTTGCTAGTCTGAGTCAAGAGGAAGAATGAAAAAAGGTTAAACTGCAAAACTATTTCGTGATAGACATTTATACTCATCTTTTTAACCCCATCTACAGTATCTCATGTTTTCAGAGGATCTTTCCTCACTCAAGCAAACATTTACTCACTGGACCTCTGGTATAAAAGAAGTACATTAACTCTAAGCCAAACAGACTATCCACAAGAATAAAGCATTGCCTTTTTTTCAAACCAAACAGATAATTTACACATTCAAGCATGAAGGAGCCTTGAGCCAGACATGGAGTCAATAGCACAATTATAATTCAGTCTAAAATTGCAGCATAATTCATGAGGTTTTGCATCCTACAATAAATCTACTAAGCTTATAAAATACATAGCAAGAGACACTTGCTTCAATAGTTGATTGGTTCAATCCATCACAGACACAGACACATCAGACTGCTGTCTAGTAAACGCTTCAAATATCTAATAAGAAAGTTTGGAAAGGAAAAAATTGAACAAAACATTTTGAAAGTAGTAGAACGTATGCACGGTGAAACTCTCCAGACTTTGACTCCTGCAGCAGGTTGGCAGATTGGTGATCTCACATTGCTCTGACACAGAAATGTTAGTGAAGGAAACAAAGAGTTGTGTTACCTGTCTAGGGCCAATGAGTACTTCTTGATGTCCCTCTCGCTCACAAGACAAGTTCTTTCAAGACCCTTTTCAGTAGCCATGAAGAAAGTCAATGGGATTTTGCTTGGTTTTTCCCTTTAAACTCTCTTTTCACTATCTGAAGCAATATGGGCAGAAATGTCCTCTTGATTTATGCAGAAGTCTCTTCCAAATATTTTTAAATGCAATTTTTTTTATAATCTTCCCAATAAACCTGAGAGAAACTGTGAGATAAAACTTCTTTCCTAGTGCTGGTGGTGTCACTACCATGCCAACCAGTAACTTGCTGAGCATGTCAGATTGGAGCCTTTGGGCCTCCCTCCCTGTTTTTGTTTTTTTCCTTCCATGTTTGATGCTGGATCTGCTCTTTGGTCACGCGGGGGGTGCGTGCTCTCCCAGGGTCCAGCCCAGCGGAGCACACACGGATGTGCACAAAGGAGCTCGCGTGGATGCACTGACAGAGAGAGCCGAGGTCATTAAAACAGCCTGCTCTGCCTGGAAACAGCCAAACCCTGTTTGCCTTTCTGCATGCTTTGCTTGGGAGGAAAGTCAATCTCCCTCACCCCAGCTTTGCACAAGCCTTTTAATCTGCGCGATCATTTTAAGGATGGGTTTCTTCCCCTGGCATCTTCTCTACTAAAGGTTTGAAACAGAGGAGGCTGCTTATTATTGCCTTTTGCAGCACAGGTTATTGAAATCTTCGTTTCAGCAGGAAGGACTGCAGGTTGTTATTTCTGCTTTATTCAGTTTGTTAGTTCTATCAACAGCTGCAGTCCCTGGAGGGGAGGAGAAGCCCTCCAGCTTCACCTCTCTCACAGCCTGACCTCAGACATTTGCTTCAGCACTAATGGGAAATCTTCCACTGGTGCTGGTTGTGTTTTACCATATTATTGGCAGAAGCAGACAGTGAGTGACAACCCTACCTGTGCACTGCTTTCGAGGGAGAGTTAGAATAAGGCAGTGGGAGGCTGCACTTAAATACTGCAGTCTTTTTTTACCACAGGTTTTTTTTTTACCACAGGTACTCTAATATGAAAATGAGGAACTGGGATTGCCTCTCCTTTCCATCAGCTCTCAGAGCACATTTTCTGTCTGAAATTCATGGGGACAGGTGGCACATTTGTACATACAAATGCAAACAATTGGGCTTATGCCATCAGAGATCCACATGTTGCCTCCCATATGTGGCTCTGCAAACATTTCCCTGGAACCTGTGAACCAAGGAGCTGACTGTATCTCAGGCATCTTTCTGAACAGCCACAGTAGAAATGCATTTTTCTTCCACAATGTGCTGTCATCTTTGCTGCTCTAATTCCCTTTTCTTGAGAGCCTTTCCCCAGGTTCTTATACCCACTTATGCACCCTTATTAGGTGGAAGAGATTGATTTTATGACTAATTCCTGGAACTTCCCATCTTCTTTGGAACTATAAAATGTTGCTCTTTAATGTTTTTTATAGTTGATGCCACTTACTGGATCTGAAAATGTGGTTGTCCAGCAAGGCTGGTTTGAGAAGAGACTCAGGATGTGTAGTATGGACCCAGGGCATTTGCAAAAATCTTACAAAACAGAAGTACCACATTTCTTGTCATCCCAGTAACACCACTAAGGAGCAACTTTATTCTGCTGCCAAGAGGGAGTAAGGGAGGAAAATGAAGGTGACCTTTCCAACTGTGCACCCTAGAACCTGACACAAGCTCATAATTCATGCCCAGTGAGAGATTCACCTGGCTCCCCATCCCATAAATGTCACCATTATTGCAGTGTCTCTGTAAGCATCTCAACTAATCTTTCCTTCAGAATTACCAAATAGCAACATCGTGTTGCAGACTCAGGATATCAAAAAAAACAAACCTGACCTGAAACCTGATTTACAGTGGATCTCAGCTTTTCTAGGGTGCTAAGCCAAAGTATCAGGTCTAAGCACCGCCCATTAAGGAAAATTTAAAATCCACCTCAGAAGATTACAGGTAAAGCCAGTTTCTGTTTCGAATCACTGTAGGCATGTAACTTTTGTTAGTGAGATAGATGAGTTTCCATCATTTTGCAAGAGGATCTTGAGCCTCAGGTGCATACCAGCAAAATGAAGCCATAGATCATTCACAGCATTTAATCTAGACTTCTGTTTTGTGTTTATTACTGTCAGTGCTGATGGCTGTGCTTCTCAGGAGACAGGCTGTGTGGCAGGATAGAAAGAAATCTCTTCTGAGCTATCCACAAAGACTTGGGTTTCCTCTTTATCAGACTCTGAAACTCATTAAAAGAAAGACAGCAGCTGTCTGCAGAATTTCTGTTTCAGAAAAATTATTCAGACCATCTCAATAAATTCAACTCAGGCTTTCAATAATAATGCAGTTTGTTTCTGAGTCTACATTAAAAATGCCACAAATCCAATCATACCAGTTTTAACGACCCTAGTCAAGGACATTTCTCAAGATTTGCATCCAATACAGACACGTGAGGCATCACACTGCAATTGAAAGTTCCTTGTCATTATTATTAAAAATCTCCATTAGTAAAAAAGCATATTCTTGATCCCATTTCAACTTTAATCAGCTACACTTTAAATATGAAAAAAATCCAATCCCTCTCATTCTGTCACTACGGGAGCAGATCCTGACAGCTTAAATGTACACAGGAAAAATCAGTGCATCTATTAATTGAAAATGCCACTGAAGTAGATCATTTTTATGAGTCATGAGACATCTTGAAGATCATCTGCAAAGTGTTTCTCAACCTTTATCTGGCATCAGCTTCTGTAGCTCTGTACTGCATCACCGGCAACTTAGGGATCCAGGCATTTGTGATTTCTGGGGCTTGGTCATTACAGTTTTCACATTTGTAGTGAGAATATGCTTTTTTCACCCAGTGAAGCCCCAGTGCCTCCCAGCCATCTGTCAATTTGGGATCCAAGGCTGGAAGAAAGACAGAATTAAAGAAAATCCACTTTCCTCTTCTTGTGAACCCATCCATGCAATAACCCATTATAAGTGAGTGTAAAAAGGAAAATATCTACCCCAATTTAGATCCAATTTAAAAATCATTAAAAGGATGTTAATGTTCAATATTTTAAAATACTAAATTTTTAAACATCAATATTTTTATCTTGGGTTTGCTGCCAATTTTTCAAAAGAATGGAGACTTTTGATAGTAACTGACTGAGGGGTAAAAGTAATCTGCAATGTTTTAGATGGATATTTTAGATTGCACAAAGTCATTGAGGAGAAAAAGGCTTCTAAGGCCCTTGCCAAAGAAATTCAAACTTGCATTGGGAATGGGGATCTAGAAGGAACATGGTACTACTCTGGGGTGTACACCTATACTTCCAGCAATAAAAGTATATGCTGCTACAAATCAAATAGAAATCCTTCTGCAGAGCCTGGAGCTTCAGTCAGGACATCTGCTCCTCACATGAGCAGAGTTTCCAGTGGCCTGAGTTTCTCCTGGTGAAGCCAGTGGTATGAGACAGCCCCTCCCAAGACAGGGGTCTCTGGAGGAGCTCAAGGCCTTGCTATGGATGGGGAGAGAGCCCAGGGTGCCCAGGCTGGCCAGGAAGCTCTGGGAAACAGATGAGGAGACAGGGATGAATCTAGACCCCAGCATGGGAATCCTGAAGGACACCACAAACATGACCCTTGCACAGCTACAAACTTCCTCTGATCCATGCAAGGTCTCTTGAAGGTTTTTTCCCATCCAAGCTGTGATATGAATATGGGTCTAATCTGTGTGGTGGGATGGTGGAAGGAGAGGAAGCAACCTTTAGCATTTTTTGTCCTTTTTATCCTACTTATTCAAACTTTTATCTTGATCTCACTTTCTTAGGGCCAGCATTTCAGAAGTGCTCTGAATTTGCTTCCCAGTGTTTCAGGTCTCACAGTTGAACTTCCATTGTACTAAAAACCCAGCTGTCATTAAGTTCCTTGGAGAGACCAGGCCTTCAGAAGTAAGTAGTGCCAAGAAATATTATTTCAATACAAGCTACTTTGCTTTTCTGAGAGTATGGCAAGGTACTTTGGTGTCTGATTGTCCCAAAAGTGCTGTCCAGGAGTAGCACAGCCTAACTTTAGATGAAGTTTTTCATTCTAGACTGTAGCTGAAAAGAAAAAAAGACAGTGTAGTTGAAAAACTAATGCTAATGTCATCTCAAATGTTACTGTCAAAGACTGTGTCAGCTTTTGTTATAAAAATATATTATCTTTATCTGAACACTTAGTGGTTTTCTGTCTCTTTTCCATTGCAATTGCAAAGGGCTTCTGCTTGGTTTTGTTTTTATGATGTCTGAAGCTGGCTGGGGAATTAGGCCTGTAATTGCATTGCTAACAAGTATTTCTTAGATACATTTATTTTTCCTTGGGGAAAGAGACTGTTAAGAAGAGAGTACACATATTTCGGCAGCCAAAGAGACAGCTATGACATTTGGCTCCTAAGTTACTACCTGAATATCATTTTAATTGTTTTCTTCAACTAATAAAATATAGTAACTTTACTGCATTAGTTCCTTTATTACACTTCCAACATACATTTCATTGTCATGCTCTTTCTAAGTACATTTGGGTCATGAAGATACATTACAATATATATTGAGAGCCAGTTTGTTAAAAACACAAGGAGTTCTGCATTATTTCTCACCGGTGCAAAACTAATTGGTTTTTCTCAGATACTGCATATATATTTATTTTCCATTTTATCATCTCTATAATTGCAGTTTGAATTAGGAAAAGGACAGAGCAACCTGGTAAAAGCAGTTGCAGGGACAATTTGTGTTTTGCTTCCCAGCAATCAGGATTTCTCAAGCCTGTCGAATTGCAGTGGGTGTTGAAACAGTGATCACATCCTTCTTGCCTGGGCCATATTGGCCATTGCTCAAGCACTTTTTCTTTCTTCCACAACTTCCAAAATTTTCTTTGCAATAATGTGTATTACTGGGAGGAAGGAAACCAGGGCTCACAATTCAAATGTTCAAGAACATTGAAACTTTGAAGAAATGAGATATTTTTTGCCTACCTCCTTTCTAGTTTCTGAGTATGTACGATGCACTCAGGGCCAGGGCAGCTGAGCTGCAG